TTTTTAAAACCTCAGCGGGGGTTTTTTCCCCTTTCCCTAGCTTTTTTTTGGGGGTTTCCCCCCCTTTGGGGAGGGGGGGGCTTCCCCTTTTCCCAAAAAAAACCCGGGGAATTTTTTTTCCCGGTTTTTCCTTTTTTTTTTTTTTTGGGGCCTTTCCCCCCCCCCCCCCCCCCCCCCATTGTCATCTTTTGGAATGGTGTTCTTTTCGCGCGGCGCACTTGTACTTGTACCATACCACCCTCATGTGCCATTTTCTAGAAGTGGGCCTTTGAGAGAGCTTTGCTGGAGCCTCGGGTGGCCTTTCGGAGCCCAGCTTCCCGCGTAACCTTTTGTTCTACAAAACCCACGCGCTGTGTACCCACCTCCGTGTGTGACACTCTCGCATGGCTGCTGCTGTTATGAGACGTTGTGCCTGATGGCTGTTGGTGACCGTCTCCACCCCGGCTTCCCGCACGTTGCCGGGCGAAACAGCCCTGCTGTGTTTCATCTCACAACCTCTCGCGCGGTGCTGTAGGGACTGCGGGTGGCGCGTGCGTGATTCGTCTCTGTCTCCCCTGACCTTCTCGACGATTGATTTCTCGTCTGTGTTGGCCCCGCCGGCCTCGACCGTGTCTCGACCCGTTTTGTAAACCGTCTGCGAAACCACAAGCCTTGACATTTACTCCCCTTTTTCGTTCTCCTCTTCTTCCCTGCTTTCTTGCGCTCTCCTGGCTTGTTTCCGTATTCTCTGCGCCGTCGACCGGGATGGAATGGACCGTAAATTAATAATTTAGAGCGTTCACGAGAACTGGGTGAGGTGCGTGTTGGTGCACCCCAGCGGAGCGTTTGTCCTCAGCGCCTCCGACGACAGATCTGTGAGGGCATTCGATGTGAAGGTGAAGAGAGCTTTGTTTTGTTCTTTTCATTTTGTCAGTATGACCCAACGAATTCATCTCTATCGTAAGGAAAGAGTATGAGATAGATAAGCAATGAATCCATAGCGTCAGCGAAAGTTCTGTTTTTCCACGATTTCCCGAACAGCACACAGTGAGATCTCCCCCCCTTTTTTCCTTCTTTTTTTTCTTCGAACGTGTTGTCGTGCGTGACTCGTGCCTCCCCAGTTACGGCAAGGGTATTGTCACCAGAGTGTTTGTGGCATGGGAACGAAAATCGAATTCGGGCGTCGAATGACACTGATTGGACAACTTGCCGGGCCTGCCGCCACCGGGTTTTCTACACGCATTTTTTGTGTTCGGATATTCTATCGATATGATTAGTTCAAGAGCGAAGACTTAATATTCCGTCAACGGGAAGATCAAGCTGTTCGCCGGTTGCATGGCAGACCCCGTTGTAGCCGCTTGTCTCTTCATTTCGTTACTCGTCTAGCCACTGCAGCCCGCTCTACGATGTAAGCGATGCGTTGGCATGAAGCTGGCATCCATCAGAGCACAACAGTGCACTTTCGTTGAGCGGGAGCTCCTCTAAATTGAGAGAGATAGTGACAGACCGGAGATGTTTCAATCACACGTTTTCGCTGAGTTCGCGACGTATCAATGCGGGACCAAGACCTTCCAACCCGCCTTGATCATGACCGACGTCCGGAACTATCGTTCGCGCCTGGGATGCCCTGTGGCTCTCATGGGTCATGGTTTGGATCATCGAAGGGCATTTTTGGCCCATTCTTGGGGCCTTTTTCGTGTCTACAGGTGGTTGCTTTCGATTTCGATTTCCAATGCAATCCCACGCGCACAATAATCGGAGCCAACTGAAAGCTAGAATTGAAATTAAACATGTCGTTCTGACGTTCCGGTGACAAGACCTGACACCCTTAGCATCGACCGCGTTTATTTGGCTGACTAATGACAAAACGACTCTACACCTCGGCCAGGGCGAAAGCCCAATTTACTTCTTGTCGGTGGGGTCCGGACATGGGAGGCTAGGGGAAGGAGGGCCGTGTGTGCGTGCGAGGTTTTTTGTGTGTGTGTCCCCAATCGCTCTTGTGTTGTTCTTCTTGACCTCTTCAAGGGGCGAAGAAAGCGGTACTGTAGGGGTGGGCAACCACTTGGTGGACCTCTTGCGCTTGGAGCTGTGCGAACTTGGTCGACATTAAGCCGACCCCCCCCCCCCCCCCCCAATTTTTAAAAGGGGTGTTTCAAAAAACATGGTAAGAAAAACCTGCCCCACACACCCCCCTAGGGTTTTTTTCCTTTCCCCCCGGTCCGCGCCGGTCCTGGCCCCAAAAAAAAAGGGAGGGGTCCG